AAAAACATCATGTCATTCGATTTCAGGGCATACTTGTCAAGTGTTGTGTGCTAGCTCAGGTTGGCCGCACCCGTCGCATTTGCAAGAGAGCCAGGACTTCCAAGGATCGCAAGCTGAACCCTTTGAGGCGACGAATCGCTGGTTTGGGAATTTCCAGCTTGGTCCCTTCTCATAAACTTAGACAAAGCATCGATCCGCATCCTGATTGAATCATGGTTGGTTCTGTTGAATCATCATATTGCATCTAAGGTATGCAAGGACGAGAATGGTCACGATGACGATGATGATTGGGATGATGGTGTACCTGCTCCACCCCCCTCAGGGCTTCCGATGCTCTCCTTCGAAACCTTAAGTGTGGCTTCGGGATCCAGCAGCTCCTCATCCGGCACGCTGTCCAGCTGCAACCTGTCGGTGCATGATTCGGAGGTGAGTCGTGTGGCTTCGCAACTGAAGGAGCTTCGTTTGATTGGCAATCGCAAGGGCTCTACGGGTTCCAGTGTCACGACTACAGCAAGTTTCTATGATTTACATCGTTGCTGCCGCCCGCCGAATCGAGATGCTGTACCTTCGGACTCGATTGCGCAACAGCTTCCTGCTAAGCCCGGAAAAGTCTTGGCTTCCAGTGTTTCTCAGCTGCTATGTTATGTGCATTCAATATATGCGAGCATAGACATTTAGCCAGCGATCTTCGAATCTCAGGTTTTCGCCGAACTTGCTGCGATGCTGCCTGAAGCCTCCAAAGGTTTCCCCTTGAGCAACCAGTATGCAGCGGCCTTCGCCGCTGAAGGTGATGATGATCGTGATGCCGAGCCGCCTGCAAAGGATGCTGAGAATCCGAAGAGCAAGGCAGGTTCCAAAAAAACGGGGCCCAATAGGAAGATTGCAAAGAAGATTGCAGTGGAGCCGACACCGCTTGATCCGGACTTCCAACCTTATGTCCCGAACCTCTACAGCGAGAAACGACTGGCTTATATAGAGGCTCGTGCTGTCCAGTATGGCAAGAGGGAGGCGGCTAAGATGTGGAACACGTCTCTTCAGAAGGCTAAGATGCTGGCAGGGGTGAGCTTGCGGGAGCTTAAGAAGAGGAAGTTCGTGCCGAAGGAATGCAGTGAAAATCCGTTTGTCGATGTCGTCAAGAAAGCGAAGATTGTAGCAGCGGGAGGGGCGTGATTTTCCGCATGTACCCATGCCATGGCCTACTACTGTACTGATTATTACATAGCCTGGTAGCACAGCTTGTTGTCATGCTTTCGACTGGAGGCCTGAGCTGGGTCCTAATTTGCTGATTTGCTTTAATTGGCATTTCGCTGCAGGTGGGCACGTTCAAACGTGTTGTCGCATGCGCTCGACCCAACCGGAAAGTGCACTCTGGGTGCGAAAGATCGATTGTCCTGGCAGTGAGCAACACATGTCATCATGTCCGGAGATCGCAACTGACTTTCTGTGTTGCATGCAACATATGTACTTCATTTCGAGCTTGCTCTGTGTGCTTCCTGGATCTAGAAGCTTAGCCGACGGAGCCGGTGATTTGTTGAGGGCCTCCTAGCCGTGACCATGGTTGTGTCGGAGCTGCTGTCGATGCGAGCCCCACCTGTCCTTATGCTAATCGTGATCATGCTGATGTGGTACCCTCGTACACAATCTGTTCAGGACCGTAAGCAATAGAACCGAAAAATCAGCGCATGTGTGTGTTGGTGTGCTGTAAACTTGAACATTGGGATGCTGCAAACTTAAATATTGGGAGGACCGGGACTTCGTCGAGCTCTTTTGCGGGAAGATGGAGGTATCTCATGCACTACGCCGTGCAACTCGATCAAACTTTAACCGCCCCTGAGGATTAACCTATGCCCGCAGCCCGAAAAACCCACTTAGCCCAGGCAGGACTCCGCGGCACCTCCCTCGACGTCGAGCTGGATCCGCAGACGATGGATTTCCTCAAGCCGGCGGGCTTTTGGCTGCTTGCGTTGCAATTATTAGTTGCACAAATTTACAGTTTATGTGCCATAGCTAGCAGTGTTGTGATCGTTCAAAGTCGAAATACTGAGAACTGTATATGTTACACTACACAAACATCGTGTGTCAGTATCTACAACTCTACAGCTCCACTGTCTAGAGTATATATCAGACATGAGTGTGATCGAAAGAGTAAGAACATTTCCTGGATCCTTAAATCAGTGAAGCCGTAACGTCTTATATCGTCGTCATATGTATCATACATCAAATTAGGAACAAACTTATGTAACACTATAGATTCACTAGATTCACTAGATTATATATGTCTGATATATACTCGATCTTTCAACTGTTGTTGTACTAGCAACAGACTATATAGCTTCAGCCTCACCATTTCCGTTAGAGTCTATTATAACGCACTATATATATGTATACACACACACACTACAAGATATCCGAAATGTCCGCCTATTCTTGGGGCTAGGTTTGCACAACACATCTTCGCTAGGTTTGCACAACACATCTTCCGGCTTGTCTAAGTTTGGCCCTCCTGGAAATCCTACGCTGCCGGCCGGGTGGTTTGGTGTGGTTTGGACTCGACTGCAGAAGCTTCACCACCATGCAAATTGATTGCAAACAATCAGTAGGAGTTTTGAGTCATAGCCTGATCCGTTATAGCTACCGAATCTTGTATCTGAGGTGCCGCTATACGTCTGGACGATCAACAATTCGTCCCTACGGAAATAAACAGTATCCGTTTGTCACTGAAGGCAATGTGCTTTCAAGCAGACTTGTTTTACTGATCTTTGTGTGCCAACTTCGAAACCTTCGATGGGTGGTGGAGCAGCCCTGTCGGTCTTTCCTGCCTTCTATGCCTCGATTTCAACAGATGTTGTCTGCCCTGAAGGCTTTGGGTTTCTTAAATTAGGGTTTTGAGTCAATCAGTTTAAACCCACAATTCACCCTGGGAGGTCTGGACTGGAGGCTTCTGGATGGGTATGTTCGATGGGCCAAGTGCCAAACGACATACACTTTGGAGCAACTGCGAGGCCTTGGTTCAACTCATCATGGACCGAGGTAGTGAAATGACACCCGGAAAACTGGCCTCCCTGAAGCCGCTGTGTCGCTACTATACTGACAAGAATGGTGTGAAACGAAGAATTG